AATACAAGAAAAGTAATTTTGACATAAACATGAACTGTGTGTCTTTTGCAACAAGCTTGATGGTTATTTAGAACAGTTATGATCGTTAGTTGCCAAATATTTTACTCAAATAAGAATGTTTTTAAAAAACTCTTAAAAGTATATTTAATTATATATATATATATATATATATATATATATATATATATATATATATATATATATATACTACATTTTTTTAAACTTAAGTATAACTGAGTAAACGACTCTGAAACAGTGCTCTCCCTCTAATAGCTTATTCTAATACTTCAAAGAAAACATTTTTTTCATCATAATTCAGTGATGAGAAGTTTTCACCTAGACCTGTAGTACAGCGTAGCCTGTTAAAAGCTGGAATTTTGACATGCATGCGCTTGTTTATCTGTTCATTAAATGTTGAGATCTTCTTGACTCCTCAATCAAGATTTTATTCTCTAAAAATAAGACACTTTTTGTGTATTATTAGCAGCAGGAAAAAGATAATGTAGTTTCTAGTTGTTGTTTAAGATTCATCAGGAAGGCTTTTTGTTACGTATCCTTCTGTAAAGTTTGAGCCAAACAATAATGCAAAGTTTTTCTTATTTTGTTTTCTGGAAAAAGGCAAGACTAAACAAATGTGAGATGATTGAATGTTACTTGGGCTGCTCTGGTTTCAGAATATGTTGTCTGTACATGTGATAATAATGCAAAGCGCTGGATTCACCTGAGGGCAGAACAGTCAACTATTCATTGCACAACAGCCAAGATGGAAGAAAGTGTCAGTGAGTCTTTATTGCCATTAATTTGAAATCCCATCCTATGTTTTTCACTTTTAGGTCTCTTTAACCAAGGAACCCAAGAAAGTATAGCCTTCAAACAGTCGAAGGCCGCAGCTGTGTGGTTGGTCCATCTGTGGCTCTTGTCCAGTGATAAAACTTACTCAGAACCAGGCGGAAACACCATTTTCTTAAAGGCAGGCTCTGTGTCTGCACCTTGAAGCTTTCTCTCTCCAGTTCATTTTCCTGAAAAGAGATCACTCTCAACAAACTCTTTAAATAACACTTCATAACTTATAAGTATTAAATAACCAGGAGACCTGACAACAGATTTTGATAGAATTTGTAATCTTATTCAGATCAGAGAAGTTGCTTAGAGTTACAGAAGGCAGCCCCTCACCAACTGGGCTCAATTCTTGGGAAGTGGCCACGATTAACAGTTAAAGAAGCATTTTATACATCTCCAGTCTGCCACACCATTACATCATACACGTTTGTAGATGAGGAGACATCCATGGCTCCAGCCTTATCAAAATATTACACTTTGTTCTTAGCTGAAGGACACCGCTCTCTTTCCATTCCCAAATCTTTGCAACGTACAGAATGAAGATTATAACTGTATATAGCCGGACTGAGGAACTGTCCTATTTAGATAAAGTACTGGGGAAAACATCAGTTCTGACACGCAACAGGCAGCTAATATTCAGGTGTAATAAACTCATCAATGATAATCATCAATCATCATCAATGATAATTATCCTAACAATAAAAAAATGGGTTCCGTTAAATGTTAAATTTAGAAGAAAAACTATTTAAACTAGGAACAGTGGGACAATGAAACCTGATGTCACTTTTGTACTATTTTTGTTTATTTCCAACTGCCAAATAAAAAAGAAAAACGGCTGCAAAATAGTAAATCAGGCATAACATTTCTTCATTGCTTGGTTAGAATAAAGAAGCTTGTCTTTTAGAGACGGACACCATGATTCTGGACACTGATATTAAAGCTTTGACTGATAAAATATCAGCAGAATCATCTATACTTTTATAACTATTACTCTTAATAGTACCGTGTTGTGTGGAATATTAGAAAACACTTCAAATACACAGATAACAATGGTCAAGAAAAAATAGGTATAGAGGTGGGTAGTAACTAGTTACATTTAATTGAGTAACCTTTAGAGAAAAATACTTTTAGGAGTAATGTTACTCTACTATGCTTATTATTTTTACTTTAATAATATTCTTGTGAAAGTTTCCCTACTCTTGGGTAAAAATTCTGATTCTGAGATCAGGTAAATATAAAATAAATATTAGATATTGTACAGTAGCTGGAGATTTTTTTTTTATCCTATACTAACATTAAAATGATGTGTCTATTGTCTACTGTAAGGATTATTTTTACAGGTTTATGTTGAAGCAGTATATTTAAAAAAAAAAAGTTTCATCTGTTTGTATTTATTTTGTAATCATGTTATTTATTTTTATTTTGATACTATTTTATACTTAAAATGCATATATTGTTGCATAATCCTCTCTTATTACATACTTTTACACAATAAATCGGATGTTAGGAGCCAAAATTGACTCAGCATTTGAGTAGCCATTTTACCAAGTACCATTAATTATTAGGTGAGTTATTTCTCCCAGGCCTACTTTTTACTTTCACTTGAGTAAAAAAAAAATTTTATGTTGTACTTCTCTTACTTGAGTAACATTTTTGGGTATGCTACCAAAAACTGGTATGAGGATAACTGTCTGAATTATCACTAACCAGCCGGTTATATAAACTTTAAAGGTAAACATAAAAAAAAAAGAATAAAATGATAAATTAGAACAGAGGTCTTCAGCAGGGGTTCCACGACCCTTAGGGGGTCTGCAGAGGTACTGCATGGGGGTCGGAAGTTTTGGTTAATTAGACTTTTAATCCCCCCTTCAATTTTTCCACTAATTGAAATGTCTTTAAATCCACATTAACATGAATTCAACACACTGTAGTAAACAGATAAATGAAGTCAGAAGATGTCTTTCTGTCATCAATGCAGATCTGTGTTTCTGAGTAAAAATAAGTCAAATATCTGACAAAAGAGTGGAAATTAGAAGATTATATAAAAAATGTTTTGTTATTTTTGTTCCAATAAGTTTAATAGTAAGAACAGAAACATAGACTCTAGATTTTCTAGTTCTTCAAAAAGTCAGAGAAAGAATATCAAGATTTGACGCATAAAATATCTAAAAACATGACTTATATTTTTAGATAGTCTTTAACATAAATTACAAATGAACCAGAGAAAAGAGGTCAAACAGGTATAGGATAGCTGTAACCTAAACCTTTTTTTTCAATATTCCCCCTGCAATAATTTCCACTAATTGGAATATCTTCAAATACACATTAACATGAATTTAACAGACTGTAGTAAACAAATAAATGGAGGCAGAAAATGTCTTTCAGTCATCAATGCTCACATTCAGTGACACACAGGAGCTCTTTCAAGCTGGGCACCGTTTCATTCACAACACCTGTCCCATCAACCAGGAATAAAAAATACTTTAATAAGGGCAAAATTAGTTCCATTACATTACTCCATCTGTAATAGAAAGACTATAGAACCAGTGTGATATAACACAATTTCATACATTATATAAAATTAGGGGGTCCCCGCTCCATCTCGCCAACAGTTTGGGGGTCCTTAGCCTGGAAAACGTTGAAGACCCCTGAATTAGAAGATGGGAAACTTGTTACAGCAGCGACGCTGCTGACATCCCTCCATCTCCATTATTGTAGCATCTGCCACTCTTAGATGACATTGTTATGATCATGTTGGCTTTAGAGCTGCTGGATAGAAATAATGGAGTGGAGTACTTTTATCAACTTCTTTATTTCAGTAATGTTGGATGCAGGACCATATGATGCGATTCTCTTCTTTCTGCTGATGTCAGACTGATTTCCGATACCAATATCAGATCAGGACATCTCTAGATGCTGTGTTCACGGCACATTTTGTAGAAAATGTTTACTAGGATTTGTTATCTTTTTTCATGGTGCCTTAATGCTCTCCTGTAAATCTCTGGGCTCGTTCATAAAGCAGACAAGTTGAATCTGTTTTTTATATAAATCTAGAGAAGAACTGGTTATACTGGATTTTACTGCGGCCAATCAGATTAAAATGTTGCTTCGTACTTATTACCTCGGCCAAGTACGTAACTTGAATAGTTATGGAAAGATTTTAATGTCAGTTTGACCAAAGGTAAAGGTAACAATCAGGTAACATCACCAAAATTTTGGTGATGATCCGGATCACCATCTGGAGTCTGTAAATACAGGTATTAATTTAAAGTGGAAGTCAAAATATGTCTGGGGGAAAATAGCTACTTGGTGAAGGGCTGCGCTCTCAGAGTGCTTTTCAAATTTTTTTTATTTTTAAGATTATTGAGTTATTTGTTTGGTCTAGCTTACTTCCTGTTTTTCTTGCTGTGATTACTGAGGTCCAGTCCAGACTTTCATTCTGAACCCAATCAGTTCACTGTTTAACATAATGCCAGCCACTCTGTGACCTGAAAAATAAATGACGACTAGATCTAGAGCTGCAGAGGAATGACTCTGTGTATTTTTTTTGTGTGCAAAAGTTTAAAAAGGTCCAAGTTCTTGTTCATTTTGTGTTTGATGTGTAAGATCACATTTCTGCTGACCTGAGTTTACTAGACAAAAGGAAAAATTAGGACAGAACAGAGAGAGTGGAGGAAAGAAGATGCAAGGAAGCTCCAAACTGGATATTAACAAAGTTATAAATTCATAGATGCAGTGTTTGGAAAGTATTTGAGAAAATCCAAGACCAAAAAAGTATCCGTATTATATTGCCATCAACTCCTCCCTCATTCCTCCACTCTGTCTTCTTTCTCTATAAGTCCCTTCATGGAATAAACGCAATCAATTTCTTGAACTTTAACTTGCTCTTCATGGAATGCTCCATGCCAAGTCATTTTATGGAAATGTGGCTTTGTGATTGTATTTAATGATATAATAAAATATGTAATAATTAGGTAAGAGTGTCTGAATGGAGCTTATCGTAGGTTCTGTGCTTCTCCTGTTCATTCACAACCAATAACCTATAAATGCACTGATATTCAGCATCTAATGTCCTTCTATAGAAATTTTGTGTTTTAACTCCAGAGCTGAGAATCTGAATGAGTCCAATATTTTAACCTCTTTAAAACTTTCTTTGTCAGCTTTGATGTGGAGAATGGCCCGTCTGCAGGCTGCAGCCCTCTGGACCCCCAGGCTTCTCCCGGCTCAGGTCTGGTCCTCCACACCAACTTCCCAGGACATAACCAGCGCCGGGAGTCCTTCCTCTATCGCTCTGACAGCGACTATGAGCTTTCCCCCAAGTCCATGTCACGAAACTCCTCCATCGCCTCTGAACTGTAAGTTGCAAAACTATCAAATATACGATTTAAATGCAAACATAATCGATCGTTAAAAAAATCTAAAAAAGACTAAAATTTTAGCACTAATATTTAGTGACTCTTTTCACTACTGCTTAGTTTTAGCATTGGATTCCATATGTTTTTCTAAAGTGCATTTAACCACAAAACTACAAAGTAACTCAACTCTGCAAAATGAATTTATCCCCAGCTACAGAGATCATAGTATTTATTCATATATAGATATATAGATATTCTCTACAGCTGACAGCTTCAATTCTCCTATTTTTTCCCCAAGGTTTAGAAGTGCACTTATGAGATCTTTGAGCATTCATCCAGCATTTGTGAGAGAAGGTCCAGCTTTCAGTCTGCATTCCCATTCACTCTAAATAATTCTTTCGGTTTCAGGTCAGGGCTCTGTAGGTCAGCCTAGTTCCTCCTTACCAAACATCGTCATCCATGTCAGTATGGTTCCTCCTTACACGTGTTTGTGCAGGCCAGTTGACAGTCTCATTTATAGGCCCCCTACATAACTAAGGTCTATATCAATCACTTTTTACATAAAATATTTATTAAAACCATCTACATATTTAAATAACTTGTAGCAAGAAAGATTTTGATCTGAGAGGACTTAAAGAGAAATGCTGTACACTACATTCAGTCATTCACTCACACGCTGATGGTGGCAAACTAAATTGTAGCCACAGCAGCCGTGGGGCTCACTGACAGAAGCAAGGCTGCTGTACACTGGCGCCACCGGGCCTTCTGACCACCATCAGTAGGCAATGCGGTTGAAGCGCCTTGCTCAAGGACACAATGACACTGAAAGCCAGAGTTTGAACCGACAACCCTCTGGTTTAAAGACAGACTCTTTCATCCGACAGCACTGTTGCCCCATTTGAGCAAATTAAACAAATATTTGATCCACGCTAAGGATCCTATGTCAATTATTAATTGACTATTATTATAAATAAAATAAATATTGAATTAAATATATATTTTAATTTGATACGTGCATAGCAAGTAACACTGAAATTTTCACATTCACAAATAATTATTTCTACTTTTTAATGTGCTGAAAATGTGGCTTATGGCTTTATATACGAGATCCAGTTTCATTTGATCCATATTATAGATTTCTCTTTGTGTGACTAGTGTAAATATGAGCACAAGATATTTTGCCTTTCAGATGAGCTTTTAGATTAGGATTGTCTATTTATCGCCTTCACTGCTGCATCTGTGATCCTGATGTTGAAGCGGTGGACACATCTGGTAGTCAGTCAGTTTATAGTGAATTAGAAATAGAGCAGCCTTTTAACAACGCCTCTGGAGCTTTCCTAACTCTAACTCCATTTAGCAAAGATAAACAAAAAATCCCTGACAATAACTGTTGGATTTTTTTAGCACCAGAGGAGTGCTAAAAAACCAAGAACACTGCCTGCACAGAAAGTGGTCTGCAGCTCAGAGCGATCAGAGCCTCAGCTGTACCTGCAGCTTTGGGCACATTCTTCTGGTGTGAGTAGCCTACAGCTTCTTTGCAAAAGTTATGGAGCTGCTGACTTACCAGGGCCAGAGGGGAAAATTACATATTTTCCTGTCTACCTGTAGTTTGGTGAGCCTTTGTGGTCTTATGTATTTTATTGGAGCAGCTTTACAACAACTCTAGAGCAGCCGCATCTGGGACCGAACCGTTTGGTCGGTCAGGTGAGGATACTTCCCCACTGCTGCAGTGGCAAGTTGGAGGAAAATTATGGTAGCACACAAAAGGCACAGGAAGTAAGAAAGTAGAAGATATTCGTTTAAAACTGCTTGTTTAGTTTACAGTTAGTGGGAAAAATACAAATTCCAGGGATCAGAATGAAAAATAAAATGAAATCTTCAGCTTCAGGGTCTCCTAGGCCAGATTAACCAACATAAACTCCACTCTAACTAAAAATAAAAGTAAATTGTCTCTGCAGGGAAAACAAACAAAATAAATTACTGAGCTCCCTGTCTAACCACTTCATAGGAGAAAAGAGATTGAGCAGTCAGAGTTCGTCTGCCTGGCTGTGTGTTGATGAGGCTGCCTTTTACAGCTGCTTTTTGTATCTCTGCTTCTGTCTCCTTGAACCCTAGTCAGCCTCAGCAGATGGCCGCTCTCACTGAGCCTGCTTCTGCTGGAGGTTTCTTCCTGTTAAAAGGGAGTTTTTCTTCTCCACTGTTGCCACAAGCTTGCTTAGTGTGAGGGATTGCATTCGGAAGAACTTGGCATTTACCCCCAGATTGCACATCCTCCGTCACCCCTATGCCCGCTCACATATGTCCTGCGGAGCACTTGCACGGACATGTTAATCAGAACGGTTCCACATCCACCGCTACTCTACCGCACTTCATCGTCCATGTATGTCTTCTCCATCCTTCACCATCAAAATACAGAGCCAAGCTATTTTTTGCTCCACTCCAGTCTGTTGGAAGCCAGCCAGGTCAAGATCTGCTATTGCTATCGTATCAAACAGGAAAAAGAACGTTGAGAAGATCCGGTTTGTCACCGAAAAACAGGGTGACTACAAATCAGGAATAACTAATTTTGTATATTCCCCAAAAAGAAAGCTGTTTGATTGGATGTACACTATTGGTACTTCAGCATACCAGGAACCAGATTTGTCATCTTAATCAAAATATTTATTTTATGCAGAAAGTTATATAAAATCCAGTCACACTAAACTTCCAAGAGCGTATCTCACATCTTAAAAAGAAGCTTCTTATCACAGGCATGGATGAGAGCTGCTGAGTTTTGAAGTAGAGAGCAAACCAATCCTAGTTATCCCCTCTACAATGATCCACAGGAATAATAATATTTTTGGACAGAAACTGCATGTGTGATTGATGCTGATGGTGAGTTTAATTATGTCATAATAGGAGGAACCGCAGAGGCTGTAGGTGTTGGGCAGTCTGGAATGGATCGGGGCGTTTACAGAGGATGTGGGTTTTCAGGATTAGGGAGTGAATTTCATGCAACAGCTGATGAGTTGCACCTAATCTGAAACGGAGGATAAAAGAGCTGGCTCATATCTTACAGTACATCAGTCCTCGAGGGCTGCTTCCCTGCAGGTTTTAGAGGTTTCCCTGCATCCGCACAGATGATTCTGATGAATTCAGTTTAGCAAAATCCTGTGAATCAGTTGTCAATGAAAATCAGCTGTGTTGAAGCAAGGAAACATCTAAAACCTCCAAGACAGGGGCCCTCGAGGGCAAAGTTTGGACTCATCCGCTAGAGCTCAGTGACACAAAGTCATCCGGACAAAGAAAGTAACCCTCCCTAGACTGTTGCACCATAGATAAAAGCAAAAAGTTATTATAAACTTTTTTGTTTGCTGAAAAAAATAAAGCATTTACTTTCAGTGGAACTGAGATGTCATGACTAATCTCTGAAGAAAAAGTCCCTACAAATAATCCACCCTCCAACCAACTTTGCACCTACAGGTGCTGGTCATAAAATTAGAATATCATGAAAAAGTAGATTGATTTCAGTAATTCCATTTAAAAAGGGAAACTTTTATATTATATTCATACATTACATACAAACTCATATATTTCAGATGTTTATTTTGTTTAATTTTGATGATTACAAATGACAACAAATGAAAATCTCAAATTCATCATATCAGAAAATTAGAATATTACTGAAGACCAATAAAAACAAAGGATTTATAGAAATGTTGGCCAACTGAAAAGTATGAACATGAAAAGTATGAGCATGTACAGCACTCAGTATTTAGTTGGGCCTCCTTTGGCCTGTATTACTGCAGCAATGCGGCGTGGCATGGAGTCGATCAGTCTGTGGCACTGCTCAGGTGTTATGATAGCCCAGGTTGCTCTAATAGTGGCTTTTAGCTCTTCTGAATTGTTGGGTCTGGTGTATTGCATCTTCTTCTTCACAATACCCCATAGATTTTCTATGGGGTTAAGGTCAGGAGAGTTTGCTGGCCAATTAAGAACAGGGATACCATGGTCCTTCAACCAGGTACTGGTAGCTTTGGCACTGTGTGCAGGTGCCAAGTCCTGTTGGAAAATGAAATCTGCATCTCCAAAAAGTTGGTCAGCTGCAGGAAGCATGAAGTGCTCTAAAACTTCCTGGTATGTGGCTGCGTTGACCCTGGACCTCAGAAAACACAATGGACCAACACCAGCAGATGACATGGCACCCCAAACCATCACTGGCTGTGGAAACTTTACACTGGACTTCAAGCAACGTGGATGAAGTGCCTCTCTTCTTTTCCTCCAGACTCTGGGACCTTGATTTCCAAAGGAAATGCAAAATTTACTTTCATCAGAGAACATGACTTTGGACCACTCACCAGCAGTCCAGTCCTGTTTCTCTTTAGCCCAGGCAAGACGCTTCTGACGCTGTCTGTGGTTCAAGAGTGGCTTGACACAAGGAATGCGACAGCAGAAACCCATGTCTTTCATACGTCTGTGTGTGGTGGTTCTTGAAGCACTCACTCCAGCTGCAGTCCACTCTTTGTGAATCTCCCCCACATTTTTGAATGGGTTTTGTTTCACAATCCTCTCCAGGGTGCGGTTATCTCTCTTGCTTGTACACTTTTTTCGACCACATCTTTTCCTTCCCTTCGCCTCTCTATTAATGTGCTTGGACACTGAGCTCTGTGAACAGCCAGCCTCTTTAGCGATGACCTTTTGTGTCTTGCCCTCCTTGTGCAAGGTGTCGATGGTCGTCTTTTGGACAACTGTCAAGTCAGCAGTCTTCCCCATGATTGTGTAGCCTATAGAACTAGACTGAAAGACCATTTAAAGGCTTTTGCAGGTGGTTTGAGTTAATTAGCTGATTAGAGTGTGGCACCAGGGGCCATCAATTTTGAACCTTTTCACAATATTCTAATTTTCTGATATGATGAATTTGAGATTTTCATTTGTTGTCATTTGTAATCATCAAAATTAAACAAAATAAACATCTGAAATATATGAGTTTGTATGTAATATATGAATATAATATACAAGTTTCCCTTTTTAAATGGAATTACTGAAATCAATCTACTTTTTCATGATATTCTAATTTTATGACCAGCACCTGTATATAGCCAGATGAAGAGAAACAATCCATTATTTTTTAGAGAACTTATCTGCTTTAGATTCCATTAGAACATATGCACCACTGCAAATAACATTTGCATGAAACTCTGTTATAGTGTTGCACCAATGCCATTTTTTGGCCCCGATACCTGGCTGTGCAGTATTGGCCGATACCATACTGATACCATCTCTTTGAAATTGATATGTGTGTGTATATATGAAGCACTGCAGACTACTTGAATGTAGAGTAATTGGCATTATGGCTTTGTCAAGCTGCTGCCTACCTTTGTGAAGCAGGAAAAAGACTAATCCAAAGTGAATCCAGTAGAACTTTTTATTTGCGTACCTGGAATGGGTGACAATAGTTGAATAAACTTTTGGCTCTTGGTGCGCTATTTGTTGGTACTCACCGATACTGATACCACTATTTTAGTGCTGGATTGGGGCCCCGCCCGACACTGGTATCGGTATCGGTGCAACACTACTCTGTTATATAAGGTCTGTATGCAGCTGCATAACCATGGAGTTCCCAATGCTCTCTAGGTTAGGTTCCTGAGCCGCACAAAATCAGGCGGATTGGTGTCGACTCTGGAGACAATTCTCTTAACCTGTGCCTCTGTTGACTCAACTTAACGATTCCATTGTCTTATACACTCACCGGCCACTTTATTAGGTACCCCATGCTAGTAACAGGTTGGACCCCCTTTTGCCTTCAGAACTGCCTCAATTCTTCGTGGCATAGATTCAACAAGGTGCTGGAAGCATTCCTCAGGGAGTTTGGTCCATATTGAAATGATGGCATCACACAGTTGCCGCAGATTTGTCGGCTGCACATCCATGATGCGAATCTCCCGTTCCACCACATCCCAAAGATGCTCTATTGGATTGAGATCTGGTGACTGTGGAGGCCATTTGAGTACAGTGAACTCATTGTCATGTTCAAGAAAACCAGTCTGAGATGATTCCAGCTTTATGACATGGCGCATTATCCTGCTGAAAGTAGCCATCAGAAGTTGGGTACATTGTGGTCATAAAGGGATGGACATGGTCAGCAACAATACTCAGGTAGGCTGTGGCGTTGCAAGATGCTCAATTGGTACCAAGGGGCCCAAAGAGTGCCAAGAAAATATTCCCCACACCATGACACCACCACCACCAGCCTGAACCGTTGATACAAGGCAGGATGGATCCATGCTTTCATGTTGTAGACGCCAAATTCTGACCCTACCATCCGAATGTCGCAGCAGAAATCGAGACTCATCAGACCAGGCAACGTTTTTCCAGTCTTCTATTGTCCAATTTCGATGAGCTTGTGCAAATTGTAGCCTCACTTTCCTGTTCTTAGCTGAAAGGAGTGGCACCCGGTGTGGTCTTCTGCTGCTGTAGCCCATCTGCCTCAAAGTTCGACGTACTGTGCGTTCAGAGATGCTCTTCTGCCCACCTTGGTTGTAACGGGTGGTTATTTGAGTCACTGTTGCCCTTCTATCAGCTCGAACCAGTCTGGCCATTCTCCTCTGACCTCTGGCATCAACAAGGCATTTCCGCCCACAGAACTGCCGCTCACTGGATGTTTTTTCTTTTTCGGACCATTCTCTGTAAACCCTAGAGATGGTTGTGCGTGAAAATCCCAGTAGATCAGCAGTTTCTGAAATACTCAGACCAGCCCTTCTGGCACCAACAATCATGCCACGTTCAAAGTCACTCAAATCACCTTTCTTCCCCATACTGATGCTCGCTTTGAACTGCAGGAGATTGTCTTGACCATGTCTACATGCCTAAATGCACTGAGTTGCCGCCATGTGATTGGCTGCTTAGAAATTAAGTGTTAACGAGCAGTTGGACAGGTGTACCTAATAAAGTGGCCGGTGAGTGTATATAAATCTATATCTATATATAGATATATGTATATGAAGGTTTTATACCAAGGAAAATATAAAATTTCTGACTTCACATAACACGATGGGAGGGACAGCACCTCCCTGGATGTTAGTGAGCGACATTCAGCAGGTTTTGCAAACATAAAAGCTGGATTCCATACTGTAGTGAATGGTAAACCTGCATTTAGTGCTTATACGGCTGTAATCCTTTCCAACCCCAGTCATACAGTGCAATCAGCTGTTGAAGTTGCTAATTTTACAGATTCAAATTTATTGATGTTACTACAGGATTCCATCTAAAACACAGGATGGTAAAACATGCAATAGTGCAAATTCCTTGGCACTAGTCTCCTTAAACTATATCTGCAGCCTGCTGAGAGCTGAGTGAATAAAAGTTGAATAAAAGTCAGATTGACTAGTCACAGGCAATATGAAGTATTAGTTTCTAAGACATCATTAAATCATCTTAAGAGGACCTTTATAAGACCATAGGAGTAATTTTTTTAAAAATTGTCTGAAGCTAAAAGAGAAACTTCTTCAAAAGCTTAGAAAAAACCAGCAGAATCGCCTCGGTTTTCACATCTTTAATGACATAAACTATGTATCATTTACCGTAATACAGAAATCAACTGTAGGGGTCAAGGTGAGCTTTATATGGAGCGGTTACCAAAAAAATAATACAAATACTAATACTTTCAAATACTTTTGTTGTCGAAAATATGACCATACATATGGATAAAACCTGTTTTCATTTATTCAATCTATCAAAAGCTCACCATTTTATTTACTGTTATGTTCAACATTCACCATGCTAAAGATTAATCTGTAGTTGCCTGCTAATACCACCTTTTACACTGAAAATGTGAAATATTACATTGTCTGGATGTGGCTGTGTGACACAGAAACTAAAGGAGGACTTTTTTTTTAATGCAACTTTGCATTTGATGTAAGGTGGCATCAAATGTAAGTAAAAAAAAAACATTTTTTTAGAACTACATTTGTTAATTTACAGTTAATTGAGGTATGATTACGGTAGATTAAATTTGTGCTCAAACTGTTTGACTTGCTCCACTACCTGATTTTATCTTTACATTTTCCTTATTTCTTACTGTTTGATTCATGTAAAGCTCTTTAAATTGTCTTTATACTGATTTGCGATATATAAATAAATTAGCCTTGCTTTGCTCGAAAGTATTTATTACTTGGTAATCGATAATTAAACTGATAAATAGATTAAATACTTTATTACTGATGGGACTTTTGGGAGCCTGTGTTACCTGCAAATAACTAAACTTCATTGCCGTAAAGATATGTTATCAGGGATACTGTTGGTATTTAATCCCTTACTTTCTAAATCTATCTTGATATACTTTGTTTATTCCATCAGATCATTTCTCTTATTGTTTTTCTCCCTCTGCAGACATGGTGATGACCTGATTGTGACTCCATTTGCTCAGGTAAACACCTAATTTTCTGCTCTCTGGCATCTTTTTATCTCTAACCCTATCGGTGAATAATAACATGGTTACTAAACCATGATCTACAGCCAGATAAAATAATCATTTTGTGGCTGTGTGATGCATAAATACGACTGCTAAGCTAACAGGCGTAAAGGATGCCACTGATCACCTCTTTCACTTCCTTTATAGGTTTTGGCCAGCCTTCGAAGTGTTAGGAATAACTTCACCGTTCTGACTAATGTCCAGTGTGCCTCAAGCAAGTGAGTACCACAAAAACCAAGATTCTTCTCTTCATGTGGCCTTTTTGGTTTTTATTTCTGTTTTGAGAATACATTAGCAATTATTAATAACATTACAAATATTGCCTTTAGCAACAGCTGTCTAATACTGGAGTCCAGTATTAATAAATTTTTATTATCCTTAATAAACATGCAGAGAAATGTAAGTATTTAAAAATAATAGTTGTATTATTTTATAAACCAGAGCAAAGGGAAATTGTAAACCCAGTTGTAGTTCCCTCCCTTTTCCACATGGTGTCAGCATTGAGCTATATATTGCTGTGTGACATCACGCCTGTTTTCACGACTCAGATTAGATGCTAACTACTGCAAAAGTCAAACCAACAGCATCCACCATTCAGACACATAAAGGCAAACATTTAAATCATCAGCAAAGACTTTTAATGTCTCATTTTTGCACAGTAAAAGGTCCTTTTTCCCCCAAAGTTTCTTGAGATGGTAGTGATAGAAAATCAGCTGCTCTATATTAATTTTTATTGGCAAAAAAACAAAGAGGAAAAACAACATTAACAGATCCATATTTTCATAAAACATGTATATGAGCAGCTTGTATTTTATTACCTAAATGGTTTATCGTTTATGTTCGTTAGGTTTTACTTCTGAATAAGCCAAGAGCAGTGTGCTATAGCAAAGGCTGGATTTAGAGCTGCTGAGGAGTTCAGAATACCTGAAGGTTGTCTGACCTACATACAGCTCTGACTCTCCTGCATAGGCGGCAGTGAATAGTGAGACTTAAGGGCATGTGGACAGACATTTGCAAATATGTTAATATGCTCACTTGGTATACTTATTGAACTGTTCAGTTGTGATTATAATAGACATGCATGGTCACTTTGCTTTAAATGTATTTTCCCTACTTGTTATTCAAGTGGATTATTATCTATGTTTATAAGCAGCTATTTTACCAACACTCACACCCTTGTCACTTTATTCCAGGCCTTTTTAACTAATTCTGCTATAATCCTGCAGAATTTTCCCTTGAATGTGAAAATCAACTAGAACATGTTTAAAAATCTAAATATCAGAAAGGTTCATATAGCAAAGGGTTCAGTCCAAAGAGCAACCAACTTCAAAAAATGGCGTACATTAAGCTTTTTCTCTTCTACGCCTTTATTTACATTCTCTTCATATTTGCTCTTTTGATTGTACTGCTTATGTTTTCAAGTAATTCAAAATATTATGAAAACTACTTGAACCAAACAACCATCTTGAAAAGATTTAAAAATTGTTAACTAGAAAAAAAATCCAACTTTGTCACGGACGAATACAGTTCAATAAATTCTAAAATATTCTTTCTGATCTTATAAAAAAAAAAGTTTAGTCTTTAAATTTGAAATGCTGTCTTGCTTCTTAAAAGTCAAGTAATAATCCTTGCATACGTCTGTTGAATGTGTGCAAGGAAGCAGGTCAACACAGAACAGGATGGACCCGATATCACTCTCCCCTGCTTTAGCATCGTGGTCATTTAGAAAATAATATTTACATTTCTGAACCCTTCAATAATTCATGGCCCTCAGTAGATATTTTTACTGTATTGTTTTTTTTTTTATGTAACTGATGCTAACGCAGCTAAGCCAAAGAGTCAATGGCAGATGCTCTGTCTGTTTTGATACAATCATATGTATAATTTACGGATTATGTCTGAAAAAGGGGTATGAAGAAATGGATATATGCATGGAAATCATAGAGTATCAGACCTTTCCTGATGGGGTTCGGGGGAAAATTTTATAGTATACTGTAGATGCAAATGGCATCTTTACACAAGATGCATGAATTTTCTATTTAAAAATATCTAAGCAATTAGAACGTACTGTAAAGTGGCTGAATTAGAGCTTACAGAAAACTAACGGCACATCTTTTATAGCCAGCTTAACGGATGACAATACTAGAAAAACTTGAAGCATGGCTTTATTAAAAATATCTGCTTCATCATACTGTTTTAAACACTCTATGAAATCAACATCATAAAATCAATTATTTTAATATACGGCTATATTTCTCATTATTTATGAATATTATTATTAAAGACAGAGGTTTGCTCAAAGATTACAATCATAATTTATCTTCTTCAATTATTTCCTAAAAATCAATTTATATAACTAAAGATCTATTAAAAAAAAATGCTCATTCTACTGTCCTTATAGCAGTTGTAAACTACTATTATTTTATCAATTTCATGTTGAATGTTGTTATCTTACTACTATCTTTCATAACTACACAGCCATGGAATTCAGCTAACAGATAAACAAGCTGTTATATAATACCAGCAATCCAATTTGAGATCAGACCTAATTAGATCGGATCGAAAATAATCGATTCTAAATCTTGAGAATCTGAATCTAATTGATTCTTAATTTGAGTTCCTATTCAGCCTTATTGTACTTTTGACCAGTAATGACCAGGATATTTCCTAAATTTATCAGCCTAACTGACTTGACTCTTTATCAAAATGATGACGTCCATTTGAAATGAAAAATAAAAATTTATGTCTAGATAAATCATAAAATGTGTGTTTTATTTCATCACATTTCCTTTCTCCAAATTGTGTTTAACCAGGAGGTCTCCAGCTGCAACAGCTCAGCCTCCCATCACCAGAGTTTGTCTGCCAGGTAAGAAATGTCTGGCTTCTTTTAAGGGTTTACTAATCTGGTTTACATCCATCTTGGATGATCTTCCACAAATTAGTTCTTCTAGTTAGAGTCCAAACATCCCTCACTCCTTCCTTCATCTTGTTTTTCTTTTTTTTTTTATCTTGAACTCGCCTACGTGCCGACTTTCACTTTTAGCCATCTGTCTGCAGTCCCTACACTGGGGTCTAGACTGGTTTGTCATCAAACTCATTAACATTGTTCAAAGATTATTATTTTTTTTTTACTTACTGCAGAAATAAAATAAAAATAAAAAGCCTTTGCACATGCAATCTGCCATGCACACAGCTGGGTGTGTTACGGCAATCCGCTCTAAGATAACAGAAAAACTCCCTGTTCGTCTTTCATCACGTTTTACTTCAAGCAATTGTGTAAAAGTTTACACTCTTTGGTGTGTGCACTTGTACGTCTAAATAAGTGAGGCATGTGAGAGTATATTCAAGCACAAATGACTTTCTAATCTCTATAACGTCGTATTGGTGTTTGTGGAAAACACATTTTTTAAAAAATCTCTACTTTTTTTTTGTCTGTCTTTGCCTAAAACCAATCTGATCAAAGCAAGCACATATATTGCGGATTTTTTCTTTTATAATCAAATCAAGTTATTATTTTCAACCCTTAATGCATAATTCTCCATACCTCCAAATTCGGCATTAAAGTAGATTATATAACTGCCACCTCTGGTATAACACAATTAGTTAACATTAGGCCTTTATTGTATTTTTATGCAAAGAAAAATGAATCACATTCTCCGATGTGATGCTGAAATGAAAATAAAAACATGACCTTTAACTTATCTCCAAAGTAGCTAAGAAATTTGGGTTTCTGTTACTGTTTAGGTTATGTTTCTGCTTAAAATTGAATGACGACAATAAGTCTGACATTTCCATCTAACATCGAAGTGAGTGGGATGCAGTTACTGTTGGTATTACTAAAGGGTGTGACTAGTTTCAGTTTGATTTAGTTAGTTGCTCATCAATAAAGGTTTACAGAGCATCAAAAGTGTTATCTTACTATCATCTAAATTTCTTGAGAAGAGCCTGACTGCAACCATGTCTGTACGTCGTTTGGTTTGTTAACAATTTAAAGCAAACTTATTTTATAACCAAAAATACTGATAATGATTGAATATTACAGCTCATCTCAGAGATCACATCCTTACAGCAAGCAGAAAAAAAAAATCTGAAAATTGTCTTCACTCATCAAGATGGAAGGTTTTTTTTTTATAAAGAAATACTTCACCAATGCTTTACATTTATATAAATACTTAAGGTCGTGGGGAAGTCATATTTAAATGTCAAATCATTCTGGTTTAAACATGTATATAAGTCTATTCTTTATTATTCTTTATTCTATATTGTCCCAAAAATTCTATTTAAAAAAAATCCTTTTTTTAAATCAGTGTTTTTTTTTTCGTTATCTTCTGCAGGCCAGTTAGTTATACGTCAGCTTGTACACCTAAATTCAGCCAATCATATATCAATGGTCATCTGTCAATCAAATTTTTTCAGTCATAGCATCTTGATTCATATGTCGCAGCTAATATACGCAACGATTGAAATAAGAATAATTTCCTTTCCCATTGAGTTCTGTCCCAGTGTTCACGGGGATGGATGTCTGTGTCTTCAGCAGGCGTAGAGCTAACAGAACTGGCAGCGTTTCGAGGCAAGGGCTCAAACATGTACGGCTGGAAGCCTTCTACACCAAACCAAGCTTCTGCCGCCCTGGCGTCCTCTTCCAAAACATCTCTGTCCCCACTTTCCTCCTCTACATAAGACTCATCCATGACCTCCGACACAAAACTCTCCTCCTCTTGCATGTTTCTGCTGTCCATAGCGTTCCTTGACAGTCTCGTTTCTAAGTCCTACTTGGTCCCAAACGAAGTTCCCATTGGGAACCTGCTAGCACTAAGTTGCTAAGTGGTTAGCAATTAAACTTGCTTACGAACCTTCTGCCACAACAATCCCGCCCCCTTGATAAACAACCAATCACATGCGCTTTATTCACTCGTGTTAAGTCGTGCACCACTCAGGAGAATTTGTAAATGCAACGGTTGGAACAGTCGTTTCCCTACAACTTTAACCATCTAACAATATGCGCTACTATGGAAATGTTAATTTTTTTTAAGAAGAAGATAAAAAAAAAAAAACAACTTAATAAGATAAGTAACTGTTGACACACATCAGTGTCTCTGGTCGCTTCAGGCCCTGAGCTCTAACGTTTTGTACCTTGAGGTCAGGACATGTAAAAAATAAAAGGCAAGAACAGTAGACTTGTTGATTTGTAGAGAACTAGATGATACACAGTGACACTGAAAACGGGGAGCATTTTAATCCGCAAATAACATCTTTTAAAACAAAAACCCCAAATAGGTCAATTAAGACAAAAAAGTAAGTGAAACTGCAGCAATGAGAGTTAGTTCTGTTATTATGTTTTCTCACCCTCATGCATTTTTCTCTTTTTAGGTATAATTTCAGTAAACTGGGTCAAAAAAATGTGAAGATATTTTTCTCATTCAAAGAGCTTCAAGTTTTTAAGCTAAAAACTTGGCTTTACAACTATTTGTGTGACGTATTTAGTAATAACTGACAAGCTTTAAATGGGCCTAAAAAAGTTAAACAGCTTTAAATTTGCCTTTTACGATGTTGCAATTGTTGATGTGGGGTTTGATATGAATATCAGGGGCATACATGCATCATTTATTAGCAATCTGTATCTTATGCAGGCCGGTGTGTGTGTGCGTGTGTATATGTGTGTATTATGGGGAGGTGTTCCTGTGGTTCTAATTGACGTCAGCATGCCTGTATGTGGCTTCTGTTGACTTCCTGTTGAAGCAGATGGACTGAGTTTTCACTTCCTTCTTCAGAACCGCAGCACATCAGGTGCTCATGAGTTTGACTGCAAGACATTATGCATAAGTGTGTGTCAGTTTGTGTTAAAGAATGTACCTCATAAAACAACGCCGTGTTTTGCAGTTCGACCTATTTCTCTGTGATTATTAGTGTTATCACTGCAGCTTGATCCGTACTTTATTTGTGTCTGCACTTTTTTTCTTGCTTTCACGTGTTATTGAACATGACTGGAAACAGCAATCAGCCTCAGATGCCCCGACTTAAAGGTCCTTGTATCAGACTATGTTAACGCTCCAAAACTTTAAAAAAAAAATCTATGAATGAACCTTATGGTTAAATTGTCTTCTCAACATTTTTACCATAAACACTATGTTTTTTGTACCCTCTTAGCTTTATATTGGTGCAAGTGCTCAAGCTTGCATGAGTGCCCCTTCTCCAAAAACCTAAAAAAAAACATGTTTAGTTTGCGTTAAACTGTATGGACTGTAGCTCACATATTTTAGCTTAGTTTTGTAGTCTAACTGGTTTCAGTTTTTTTCATTCTGTTTACAATAATATACTTTAAATTAAGTTTATTCTATACTTTGCCTTTCATTCAAAGGTAAAAAAAAAACCTAAACCTTTCGGTATTAGAATATTTAAAATAGTTTCTTTCCTTTATTTTAGCTAAAAAACATTATGCAGGTTTTTTCATTTTTTCAAAGAAATAATTCAGCTCTATAAAATATTACTATTTTCCTTTGGTTTTACTCCAAATCATAATTTACATCCTAACATACCTTTCCAATTTACAGCTCATATTAATAATAATTCAGGTTTTCTATCTAAGGAAACTGAGCTGATTCCATTAGGTGACTCTGTTGGATTTGCTACTTCTTCAGCATGTACTGCAGCAACGGTAGATATTTGATGGTAATGTGTCATAAACTTTACTGCAATCCCTCATATTGAGCATGCATGCAGCAACCATGGAGAGGAAAAGTTCCCTTTCAACAGGGAGAATCTTTCAGCAGAACCAGGCTCAGTGTGAGAGACCTTCTGGTAGAGGCCTACTGGAGGTTCAATGAGACAAAATCAGATACACATTATATACATATTATAAATGCTTTCAAAGGTAGAAAAAGGACAGAAACAGTTAAGCAGGTCTGAGCCACTTGTTCAAAGGATGAAAGAGAGTACATACAGTTAATCACAGTAAAAGCTAAGCCATAGTTAAAGTACAGTAGGAAAGGTTTACAAGTTCCCCTTCAGACTGAAAGCAGGCCGAATTGCCCCCATTTTCCAGCACACTTCCAATTTCCAGCCGCTGGAGCTATCCCCCTCTTTCTGCTGGACGTGTCAAAGTTTACAGCAACTCCATCCACTTATTAAAACACAGGGTATTCCAGGTGTACAGTCTAGCAGCTTAGGGTTGCGGCTTCACTGATAACGTCATCATGGGGCATTAAATTACCCCCAAGGACCTGTCAGTTATCAGCAAAGGCCTTTTCAGGGAACCATCGTTGAAATAGGGGAATTTTAAAACTAAATACTACTGAATGTCTAGGAGAGAAACAGGCCTAAACACTCCAAGAAAGGTCCAACTCTACTTTCTAGAATTGAAGGTGATGATTGCAGTGGTCCAGTTCATGCATTCCACCAGGATGTGCCATGGCCTAGGGGAGCACTTGGACAGATGAAGCTGCAATACAGGAAAAAAGGAAGAGAGAACATGAAGTTGAAAGTTAAGCTAACAAATAAAAATTTGAGAGAGAAGTAGAATGAAGCAAAATAATAAAAAAGTTGTCCCTATGTCCTCCAGCAGTCCAAGCCTATGACAGCATTGCTATAGAGATAGCTCAGGATACCCTGAGCCACTGTAATTATAAGGTTTGTGAAAAAAGGTTTTAAGCCTTGACTTAGAAGTAGACAGGGTGTCGGCCTCATGAACTAAAAGTAGTTGGTTCCACAGGAGAGGAGCCTTATACTAAAAGATCTGCCTCCCATTCTACTTTTAGAACATTTTCTTTACCATTTGTAAATCTGCAGATTGAGAATAAAATGCGCTTTTAGAAACACAAGAGACAATCAGATCTTGGACATAAGTTAAATTTTCGTTATTTATACTTT